AACGAGCCAGATGGGAGAGATGGGGGATGTGGAGGTTTCCTTGGGGCGGCCTTCATCTGATCCTCAGACAAGCCCATGCGTGCTTCGTTGCCTTTCGCGAACTTGGCGATGCGCGGCGCTGCGTCGGTGTTTGGGCCTATTTTGGGGGAGACCAGGTCAGCACCATGCCCTGCATTCGTATTCCGAATCGCTTAACTCGGTGCGATGTAACATGCGAAGCCAAGGGCGAGTTGGGAGTGTACACACCATTGTGGAATGTGATTTCGTGGTCTGTAGAGGGAGGTAGTTTCGGATCGGGGGAGGAAAGTAGGGGTTGGTAGGCCTGGGTTTGCAAATTGGCGAACTTTGTTTTCTCCTTAAGTACCCCAGCTGGTGGCGTGGTGATGCAGAGCAGAAGGTTGCAGAGTCGATTTCGTCGACGTGGTGGCAGAAGTCAGTCGAACGTTTCGTCGAAAGGGACAGGTGGTCGTGGAGAGAGAGAGTGTGTCTGTTGCGCGAATGGACAGCGCGATACTTTCCCCTGGGAAATTCGTTCGACAGGGCTGATGGGGGGTGGGAGCTTGAGCTCGGGAGGACATGTGTTCGTGTCCGGCCGCCCCGTCGTACCTCGAACATGCTTTCCGGGCGACTGCTTTCTGATTGGACACCAGAGGCGCGGCTCTACCGCGACGGCTCCACTCATCCGCGGGAAATGCACGGAATGCGGGGGAATTTTGCACCGCCACAGGCTCCCAGGGTTCTCTGAGGCGCTGGAGCAGGGACCTGATAAGAGCTTGAGCCTGTGAAAGATCGGCTTTGCGCGGCGATGGAGACCGAGAGGCGCTATGACAGTCGAGCTACAGCGATCACCACCGTGAGCCGACGTGATACTATCTTTACCACCAACGGATTTACGTCAACTCATCGCAACACATAGCTACAGCCCGATCATGCTGATGAGACCCGTGACGACCATGGCGCGGGCGCGCTATTCTCGGATCCTCCTCAGGCCAGCGACGAGATCCTACGCGACCGCCGACAAGCCTCCTTCGGCTGTGGTATGTGATCCTGCCCCCGCGCACCTCCATCTCTCCCAGCCAACTGATGATGATCCTCTCTCAGGCCAACTTTTACAAGACTTTCACGCGGCCGACGCTGAAGGTCCTCCTCATGGCGACACTGACATACCAAATCGCCTACCTGGCGTGGACCAAACTCGAGATGGATGAAATCAAGGCGGGAGCGAACACAAGAGGTCCAAACCCTCGAGCACAAGTGACGAGCTAAGGAAGGGA